CAAAATGGTCAACTACACATCGCATGAAAAATTCCCAAAGGTTTATAAAGTTGATCATGAACAATTTAATCCAGGTTTATTCAGATATGGTGAAATAGCATGAAAATCGAGCAGAAACGTTCTCACATGCAGACTGCATGTATGTAATCTCTCTGGGACCCGGTATGTGAGCAGGACCTGGGCCGGGAGTCTGAAGGACAGCAGTGGCTCCATCGGTGCTGCTGGGCCGTTTCTTACGGAGACTCACCTGGACCTCGAGAGTCGCTCCAGGTAGAGGCGCTCATGGGCAAACACTTCCTTTTCATTTCACCTCTAAGTGAGCTCATCTTTGTAAAAACCGAGTGGACGCTGCTAACCATGGCCACACGGAAACGAATCATTGTGTCTTCAGTTCTATGATGGGGAATAATTCTTTTCTGGTATTTTTTTTAAGTCATCAAGGGGGTATTTGTGAACTTTTTACCTTTCACTCCTGTCCTTTTACCCAAATATGTCAATTTTCTAATAGAACGATACTTTTAAGAAGTCTAAACAATTAGCCCGGCCAGCGTGGCTCAATAGTTGAGCCTCAACTATGAACCAGGAGGTCCCGGTTCCATTCCCTGCCAGGCCGCGTGCCCGGGTTGTGGACTGATCCCAGTGTGGGGCATGCAGGAGGCAGACGATCAATGACTCTCTCTCATCATTGATGTTTCTCTCTCTCCCCCTCTCCATTCCTCTCTGAAATCAATAAAAACATATTTTAAAATTAATTAATTAAAAGTCTAAACAGTTGAGTTATCATGGACCCCACTAGTGGAGTAGACCCCGGTAACAAATGATAAATTTGCTATGAGATGCAGCCTGTTCACTCACGGATTCGCCCAGATATATACTTACAACGAGATGCCCTTCTTGTCAGAAGACAGATGCGTGCCCTGTGGGGCGTGAGGCGCGCTCTGCGTGCCGCCTGTCCTCTGCGTCCGGGCAGTGTCACTCCCAGCGGTCACCTCCCACGCGCCATCCCAGGGGCGGACTCATCCCGCACACGCGTGTCTGCGCCGGAACCGCTCTCCTGACTCGCCTTCGCTCGCCCTGCCCGGATGGCACCGAAGCCCGTGGGCTCCTCCATTCCCGGAGCCAGGAAGGCACGCAGCCCTGGGCCCACCGCACACGGACAGGAAGTCAGCAGTGACGCTGGGAATCCAGGTGTCACTTCCGAGCCCGGCTAAGTGATGTGTCCGCAGTAGACGGAGCAGTCAGGCCGCTGGAGGCGTCCTGTGGACTTTCACCTGAAATCCATTTATATTTTGGGTAAAGAGAAGTCGTGGCCCTGGCTGGTTTGGCTCAGTGGATAGAACGTCGGCCTGCGGACTGAAGGGTCCAGGGTTCGATTCCAGTCAAGGGCACAGGCCCGGGTTGCGGGCTCGATCCCCAGTGTGGGGCGTGCACGAGGCAGCCGATCAATGATCCTCTCTCATCATCTCTCTCTCCCTTTCCCTTCCTCTCTGAAATCATTAAAAATATTTTTTTAAAAAGGAGAGAAGTCGTGAATTAAATCTCACAGAGTGAAGAAGCTGTGCCCAGAAAAAGTGGGCAAAAGCCAGCAGGTCCCCCAGTACTCAGGGTGCGGCATCGATCTGGAGGCCAGGATGGTGGGCTTGACCAGGAAGAGCTGTTTTTCTTTTCTTTTCTTTTCTTTTCTTTTTAAATATACTTTTTATTGTGGATAGTATTACAGATGTCCTCCACCTCTAGCCCCCACCCCCTACCCCCCAGGTCTTCCCTGCCTTATTGCTGGTGTCCATGGGCTGTGCATATAAGTATATAAGTTCTTTGGTTTATCTCTCCTTGCCTCCCACCCCCACACCGAGGTATGCCAGCCTGTGGGACAGTTACACCAGGGAACACCATGCAGCTGTAAAAAAGAGGATCTCTTCCCTTTGGGACAGCATGGAGGGACCTGGAGAGCATTGTGCCGAGTGAAACAAGCCAATGTGAGAAAGACAAGTATCACTTGACCTCACTCCCCTGTGGAATCTAACAAACAGAATGAACAGACCAACAAAATAAGACCCGGAGCGGGGAGGCACGGAACAGACTCTTTCTTTCTCATCTGGAACGAAATGGCTGCAGAGGGGAAATCTGACCTGGAAGTCCCGAGTTCCCGCCCTCGACATCAAGGCTTCCATGGTCCATCCCTGAGAGAGAATTTCCGGAGGGCCAGCCCGTCTGCCCACGCCACGCCAGGCGCCTCTGCCGCCTCCAGGCCCCTGAAATCCGACCAATCAGATAGATGCTCCCCAGGTCCACGGAAGAGCCGGAGCTGTAGACACGGAATAGAAACGTGTGCTCAAGAAACCTTTGGCAGGGACCACAACACACTATTTAAGGAGATTGTGTTAAAAATATTTTTTTTTAAAAGAGAGAAGTCGTGAATTAAATCTCACAGAGTGAAGAAGCTGTGCCCAGAAAAAGTTGGCAAAAGCCGGCAGGCCCCCCAATACTCAGGGTGCAGCATTGATCTGGGGGCCAGGCTAATAGTGGACACCTGTGCCCCCAAGAGCTGCTAACCAGCCTGTGACCAGGGTGTCCGAGATGGAGTGAGGGGAGCCAGGCTGGGCACCCAGGTACCCCTGGGGCGTGGGTACCCCTGTGGTCTGGGTACCCCTGGGTCCTGGGTACCCCTGTGAGCCACGGGCTGTGCCCAGCGCTGTGATCCAGGACTGGGGGTTCAGCCGGCACAGAACAGGAGAGGCGCCCTGGGAAGAATGGGGTCTGTGTCTTCATTGAGCCGTGACTGCCTTTGAGGTTCCCGCTGTTTAGGGCTTAAAAGACAAAATGAGAACCAGACGTCAGGACATGTTATACCTTTAAGTAAAGAGTCATTTTTTAAATGAAAATAACTTAATAGTTGTTTTAAGTAATTTCTTAACAGGAAAAAAATGCTCCAAGAAGTAACATTTATTAAAAGTTTGTTATTTTATTTTTCATTTCACATTGATTTCAGAGAGGAAGGGAGAGGGAGAGAGAGAGAGAAACATCAGTGATGAGAGAGAATCATGGATCGGCTGCCTCCTGCAGGCCCCCTACTGGGGGTGGAGTCCACAACCCGGGCACATGCCCTGACCGGGAATCCAACAGTGACCTCCTGGTTCATGAGTGGACACTCACTGAGCCACGCTGGCCGGGCTCAGGTTCACAAATTGTGAAGCAAGTCCTCAGCCGCCATGGTGATGCTGCACAGAAAATGCCTGTGCCTCAGGTGCTCGGTCAGCTCACTTCACCCTCTACCTTCTATGCCCCCTTCTTCTCCCCACGCCCCTGCGCCCCAAGAGCAGCTACCGGGGATCTGTCTGTATCCCGGGTTTGAAATGCGTGTCTCATTGCCATTGGAACCAAAGCGGTCCTCGTTAAAGACCTATAACAGCGCAGCAACAGCATCTGGATCCACACGCACACTCACAGCCTATGATGGGGGGGTGGAGGCAGTTCTGAGCCCCACGGCCCTGGGAGGGCAGCGGCCACTGACAGCGCTCGGTCAGACTGTAAGACTCGCATCCGTGAGCTCTGATCCTGTTGCCTCAAGAAGTTAACATGGATTAACGACACACCGAGAAAGTAGAGAAGTTTTTGCCATGTTTACAGATTTTTGTTTCTGAAATTGGCCACCTGTTTCCTGGGGGTCCCCTTCTGGTCCTCTCTCAAGATTTGCCATCAACATCCGGAGTCATTGATGTTGCTCTTTAGTTTGTAAAGTAAAATGTAAAGCTTTAAACTTACTAATTGTGCCTTAAAAATGACAAGGAAGGTAGGACACTGAAACCCTCAATCGCAACCCAAACAAAAGTTCCCTTCCGATTCCTTTAGAAACTAATACAGGACTTGTCTCTATTGATTAATTCTGTAAAAATTTCCCCAAGAAAATACGTATCTACACTAATAAAAGAGAAAGATGCAAACTGACCATCACTTCACGATGCCTACCAGCCAATCAGGAGTGAGTATGCAAATTAACCTGACAAAGATGGTGGGTTAATTTGCATACACAGGCACTGAGCGGCCGGGGCGGAGTGGCTGCTTGCATGCATGCCAGCGCTAAGCAGCCTGGGTCCCAGGTCCAGTCATCCTCGGGACCCAGGCTGCTCTGAGCCTGTAGGCCCCCTCGTAGGCCCGGAGTGACCGGGGTCTCGGAATGACCCCCGGTCACTCTGGGCCTATGCGCGCAGGCGCTGAGCAGCTGGGGGCAGGGTGGGAACGTCCCCCACAGCGAGCAAGCAGACAGCAGGGCCCTGCTTGCCCCTGGCCATAGCAGCGAGGGGCAAGCAGTCCCCTGCAGGGCCCCCACAGAGAGCAGACACCAGGGCCTGCGGTGGTGTCAAGCAGGCAGGTCCACAGAGAGCAGAGAACCATGGGAAGCTGGCCTGAGCCATCAGTAGGACATCCCCTGAGGGCTCCCAGATTGGAGAGGGTGCAGGTCGGGCTGAGGGAACCCCCCCCCTTCCCCAGTGCACAAATTTCATGCACTGGGCCCCTAGTAATAATCACAGAGAGCAGACACCAGGGCCTGCGGTGGTGTCAAGCAGGCAGGTCCACAGAGAGCAGAGAACCATGGGAAGCTGGCCTAAGCCATCAGTAGGACATCCCCTGAGGGCTCCCAGATTGGAGAGGGTGCAGGTCGGGCTGAGGGAACCCCCCCCCTTCCCCAGTGCACGAATTTCATGCACTGGGCCCCTAGTAATAATATGGAGCTGGAGAAATCTCACCCCGAAGGGAACGCAGACATCAGCACTGTGTGTGCGAGAATTGCCTGAACTGCTTCTGAGTTTGGGGACCTTCCGTCAGCACAGTGACAGCCAGCGGGGTTCCCGTGCCTGAAATGGGGACCCCACGTGACTGTCCCCTTCGAAAACCCCAAAGTTCATGTTTTGTTTCCCTCGTGCTGACGCCTTTGAAAAAGAGGCATCCCGGAGCTTCCTACTGATTTTTCTAAAACCGTGTTAATTTCTTGTTTATTTCAGGCCTTACTAGAGACTCAAACCTTACTGCGCACTCAGGTTGCCAATTTTACCTTCAACCTTGGATTTTCAGGGAAGTTTTACCACACAGGTAAGAGGGGGTGTGGCTGCCGGCAGCCGCTCACATGGGGGAGAGCGATGGTCAGGGTCAGAAGCAGACGGACGGACGGACGGACGGACAGACGATCCAGACCGATTCCAGGGGAGACGGGGGCGCGAGATCTGGGCAGCCGAGCCCAGCATCACTGTGCTGCTTCGCTGTGGCAAAGACGTCTAGCGTCCAGGGACAGAGAGAGAAGGGGCTTCCTCGAACCAGTGGAGGAGCCCTCTCCGCTGGGGGTGACTGCGTCTGGCGTGCGGGGCAGCGGAGGCAGAAGGCACAGTGACAGGGACGGTGGGAGGGGGGGCGCGGGAAGGGTAATCAGAGCGGACACTGTTCTTAAACTGTCAGGTGGTCGAGGTCACAGTTTTGTGAATATCATTTCCCTTTGGGAAACGCTCGATAGTGAGTGATTGTGTAGCCTCAATGCTATTTGGTCGATTGGAACGGGCACCCTTTCTAATTCCCTCCCCATTCCTTTAGTTTGTAAAGTAAGAGCTAAAGCTTTAAACTCGATGTTTATGCCTTTAAAATGATGTGGGTGGGGTATGGGGGGAGCACAGGTCAATAAAACACTCAATTGCAGCTCAAGCAAAAGTCAACCTCCTGTTTCTTAGCAACAAATACAGGACTTGTCTCTGCCTAGTGACTGGAAACATGTCTGTGGCGATGCCATCGCTCATTCGGCCCCACGTGCCTCCCTACCCTGACGCCAGGCCGGGCTTCTCTCCGTCTCCATCCAGCCGCGGCCACGGCGGTCCCGGGCGCTCACGTCTCAGCCGCCCCCCAGGTTCTCAGGAGGTGATGGATGCGTCTCCCCTCTGCCCGCTTCATCCCCGGAAACAGACGCTTATGGTCTGAACATCAGCGTTGACATGCGTAGCATCGCATAGAGCCGTGGTCGGCAAACCTTGGCTCGCGAGCCACATGCGGCTCTTTGGTCCCTTGAGTGTGGCTCTTCCACAAAATACCACGTGCGGGCACGCACATACAGTGCAATTGAAACTTCGTGGTCCGTGCGCAGAAGTCGGTATTTTGTGAAAGAGCCGCACTCAAGGGGCCAAAGAGCCGCATGTGCCTCGCGAGCCGCAGTTTGCCGAGCCACAGTTTGCCAATCACTGGCATAGAGAAAGCGGGGTGCAGGAAAGCGACTATCTCATCGTAGGGACAGAAGCAGCCCGGTGGTGTGTCCCAGCCTGTCTCAGGGGAACCCCTTCTGTCGGCTGCTCTCCACACCCCGAGGGGAGGGGGGACCCCGTCTTCCTGGACTCCCCGCAGCATGTGCCTCCGTGAGGTTGCTGCCGAGTTAAAATATCCCAGGCAAAGGCATCTTTAAGTCTCATAACCGCAGCTCCTCTACCCAAAGCAGCCTTACCTGTGTCTCCGGAGAGCCCCCATGATTTATCGGGGTACGGAGGTGGCGACACCTCACTGGCTTTTCTTTAATGCTCGTTCCCTCCTGCTTTGGAACACGCCATCTGTGCCCAGGGATGGAGGAAGTCGGTGCTTAGAGCAGCTGATGAACCCGCGATGGCTCATGTTCAAGGGCATTTTGCAGAGAGAAAGTCGGGGTGTCGTATGTCTGCGCAGGCAAAGGACCCCAGCTCCCCGCTGGAAAACAGACCTGGTTTCCCAAACCTTCTCCAGAGCCCCCAGGAGCCGCGTCCGCCCAGGGAGCGCTGGCTGCGCAGGCGGAAAGCACGTGAGTCTGCAGGCCGCCTCCACTAGCAGGCGGGAAATGGGGAGGAATTCAGCGCGCACAGCCTCGCTCTTCTGTCTTCAGCGGCCGGAACGTGCAGGCGAGGCCGCTCTTTGGGCTGAAAAATGTCTGGATTGGAGCTGCTGCTTTCACTTACTTTTCCTATTCAGGCCCGTTGAGCCCCGATGGCCAAGGCGTTAACACCCACAGAGGCTCTCGCTCCTCGTTTCTCCTTTGTAGCCTGGACGTGTCCCCTCCGGGGAGCCCACGGCACACGGTGCACGTCACACACAGGGTCAGTTCCTCGAGGAAGAGACAGAGAAGACAGTTCAGTTCTATCCCGCGAGCAGACCGCGTCACCTCTGCGTGCTGGTGTTAACGACAACATGGAAGAAGCGCTGCTCCGAGAAGCTGTGGCGAAAAGTTCCTCGAGGAAGAGACAGAGAAGACAGTTCAGTTCTCTCCCGTGAGCATACCGCGTCACCTCTGTGTGCTGGTGTTAACGACAACATGGAAGAGGCCCTGCTCCGCGAAGCTGTGGGATAGCGACAGATACACGTGTGTGCGTCCTAGAAGGTTAAGTTCCTCCCCGTCAGCATGACACGGTGCGGTGCACCGTTACCTGTTTCCAGGGGCCCTTAAACCACACGGACTTCATACTCACTCACTGGAGCGGCATGAGGTGTGGGCGCTGTCCCAGCGGAGGGCACCCCCTCCCGCCCCTTTCCCGCGTGGAGCTGTGGCCGGGCCGTGCTGTGTGCCCAGGGGGAGGGGGCCTTGTCACAGGATGTCTCCGTCCTCCCCCAGCCGATAGGATTCCCCGATGCCCCAGGTGCTGAGTGACAAGCCCCGTTGCTTGGCAGACGTTTCATCACCTCCGCCCAGCCCCAGGGCAAAGAGGAGAGAGCCATGTCTCCCAGGCTGCTTGTCTCATCATATGTCCCCCGCGTCCTTTCCTGTTCGGTCCCCGTCCTTCAAGTGCTGAAAACCATCTCCCGCAACAGGACACGTCGCCAGGCCCCCCAGACGCCAGCCACTCAGGGAGCCCAGCAGAAGCAGGAAGGACACACCACCGGTTAAGAGGGGGAAGTAAAAAGCAGGGGGTTCAGAGGAAAATGTTGGGTGTGGGAATGTTTAAGGCTGGATTGGACGGGCCCGGTGGCGCTGGATGGAGAAGGGGAGACGCCGCAGTGGGAAGGGGGGGCTGCAGGCTTTCCGTATGACACCGCTTCTGGGGTGATTGTTGCTGCTCTTCCTCCTTAATCCATTGGCGAGGACCCGGTTAATGACTTCATGAATATGTGCAAATTGGGTTGATACGGGTCTTTTCCATTAGAGTTCATTTGACACACACAAAAAATACCCCTTATATAAAGCTATTAACTTTCAAACGTGAAAGTAAAAACAAGAGTTACATTCCTTCTCCTCTGTGTTTGCTTTTCTGTGTAAAGTATTGGCTCCAGGGCCAGGTATGGGGAGCAGACAGCTTTTGCTCCCATCCGGGCTCGGACGCTCACGGGCTGTGTGAACTGGGCAGGTCACCCACCCTCTCTGTGCCTCCGTGTCTGCACCTCCAATGCAGAAGGGGAGAGTGACAGCGTGCCCACCCGGCACTGAGCGTGGCAGGTGGGGAGTGCCAGGAGAGGGTGTATCAGCAGGACTTCTTAACGTATTTTCGTATGTCAGTCAAACATTACCCAAAGGGAACAGTGAATCATTCGTGTCTCTATGCTGTTCATTAATCTTATCACAAAACTGTTGTTGTTGTTTTTATGTAGTATAATATTTTTTAATTTATTTTTTAATCCTCCCCTGAAGATATTTTTCCATTGATTTTTAGAG